AGAGTGAAGACAGCGTAGACCTAAGGAAGACCTATACTCCATTTTCTTCAACAGAATATTCAAGTTCTGTAGATTCTTCACTTTTCTGTGCACCATGGTCTACTTACGGAGATGATATTAAACAGCCTTCTAATTCTCAGATCAATATAAAGAACAGGTAAATTAATCAATTTGTGGTGGCTCACGCCTGTAATCCAAGCACTTTGGAGGCCAAGGTGGGCGGATCACCTGAGGTCGGGAGTTCAAGACCAGCCTGACCAACATAGTGAAACCCCATCTTTAAAAAAAAAAAAAAGAAATTAATCAATTTGTTTCTCATGCTAATTGAGGTATTTTTAAATTTAATTACATAAGAACTGGGGTTTATTTGCTCTCTATTCCCTATATCAGCATTTTACGGTTATAGCATTCTGTGTTTTTCAAACTTTTAGGAACGTGTAAACTGGGCGGTTATTTGTGTAGTTTTTATGGTTTTGTTTTGTTTTGTTGAGACAGGGTCTCGCTCTGTCACCCAATCTGGAGTGCAGTGCCGAGATCATGGCTCACTGCAACTTTGAACTGCTGGGCTCACGTCATCCTCTTGCCTCAGCTTCCCAGTAGCTGGGACTACAGGTATGCACCACGGTGGCCAGCTAACTTCAAAAAAATTTCTTTTCAAGAAATGAGGTCTCGCTTTGTTTGCTAGGCTGGTCTCGAACTCCTGGCCTCAAACCATCCTCCCACCTTGACCTCCCAAAGTGCTGGAATTACAGGCATGAGCCAATGCCCAGCTAGGTTATTACTTTAAAAAAATTCATTAGTGGGAACATTTAGTGCATAAATCTTAAGTTCCTCTTCCTAAAGATGTCTTATACAAATGAGTTAAAACTTTTAGATGTTTTTGTCATCCAGTTTTAAATTTTCAATTTCTTCCTTCACAACTACATAACAAATGGTTTTATCAAACATAAGATATTTTAAATTATTTTTCTGTTCAATTCCACAAATAATAAGGGCCCCCTGTACGTCAAATGCTTTTCTATGTGAAATACCAGAATTTAACCATGACAAATATTATTCTTGCCTTTATAATCTTAAGATGATGATGATGACGATGATGACAATGACATGCCAGGCACTGCAATTATAGTGAGGGCTACAACAAAGGAAGTATGGGATATTATGGGAGCCTATTGCAAAGAGGAGCCTAAGGGAGTGACATCTATCTTTAATTATATATGGGAGCTGTTTATAGAGGCTGATGCATCTTTAGTCTAACCAGGAAATAGTTATTTGTATTTATTAGAAAAGTTAAAAATTTAAAATTATTGGTAAATTCTCTAAAATAATGATTTTATTAGACAGTCCATATAATACATAATTCTACAAAAATATTTTTAAAGTTGATATATGCTATTGAAAAAAATCAAGCCTGTTCCTTCTCAGTTTTTCGCTAAGATCAAGTGAAAAAATGGAAACTTTTCAGAAATACATATGAATGAAAGTCTATCTTAAGCTTCTCTCCCTGCCCACAATAACAGCTGCTAGCAGTTTGGTATACATTACAGTGAATATTTTTCTAGATATATACTAATATGTTACACAAAAAAAGCTTTTATATTGAACTTTTATGAGATAATGCATGTAGTAGAAAAGGTATTGGACTTTAGGCAGACTATTTTAGGAAGTATATAGTATTTTGGCAAGTCCCTTGCAAAATACAAATTTCTTAATATAACAAATGATCATTGATTTATTCAACAGATAATAATTGAATGATTACTAATGCTTACCCTTCCAATGTTATGAAGATCAATTAAATATGAGTGTTATGCAAAATCGCTTCTCGGCCTTTTAGCTAAGATCAAGTGAGTGTTATGCAAATATAAGGTATTTTATTTCTAAAATATCCCAACACTATGAAATATGAAAAAACAGTAAGTTACAATTTATTATAAAACAACATACAGGTTGAGCATCCCAAATCTGAAAATCCAAAATCCAAAATGCTCCAAAATCCGAAACTTTTGAGTGCTGCTGACATGACGCTCAAAACAAATGCTCCTTGGAGCATTTTAGATTTTGGATTAGGGACATTCAACCAAATCTACAAATATACGTTACATATTTGGAGTATAATGTGTATTTCCAAAATGCAAGAAAAAAACCTGAAATCCACAACACCTCTTATCCCAAGCATTTTGGATAAGGAATACTCAATCTGTATTACTTTTAGGAAGAAATTACCCAAAAACTGTAACAGGTAAAAGGTGTGCTTTTGGTTGTTACATTTTGTATTTAGTCAGTATCAGTCACCAGGTGGATTTCTGGGATAGAAGGAAATCCATCCTGTCATGCTTTGCAAGGATTAGGGATGGCTCACAAATCTGTTACATTTAAGTGACAATTACAAAATTGCTATGATGTCTAAGATGACCATATCACATTTCACTTTTTTATCCAGTATTTAGTATAGAGACACAGAAAAAGAATAGAGCATCAGGTTCATATGGTTTTCAAATTACAAATGAGGAAGCTGAGCAGGTGTTGATGGAATGATGTATAATAGGACAAGACATGCTTTTAGGAGCAGCTATGATATCAAGCATGTCTGTGACATCATAGATGAGAAATTTTTATCTCGGTCACCTAAAATGAAAAGCATGTGTTGTGAAGAAATAAGAGGTAAGCATACCCTGCAAGTCAGACATAGGATTTGAAATGAAGGAGAACTATTGTGGAAAAGACACCATGCCAAAGTGGAAAATATTCTTGAGTTTTAGTCTCTTCTTTATTTGAAATGATGGATGTAGATTCAGTCCAAATATTTTATAGATAAAGATGGTAGGATAAGTGTGGAAAGAGTAATCAACATACTGTATTTCAGCACAAATTCATTTATTTTTAGGATTCAAATGGAAAGAAATGACTATGGCAGTGAAACAGATTTATATGGACTTGTGTCTAACATTTTGGAAGAACAAGATAAGTCACAGCCATATTTTGCTGAAGGGTTAGTATATAATCTATATAGTATATAACAAGCTTTAAATTAACATACACTAGATTACCCTGTTAACTTTTATTTTTACTTAATAGTGGATCATCTGACAGTAGACATCTTAATTCAAATATTGTTTGAAGGAGACTTGATTTTGCCGAAGTATTTGCTATACAATTAGAAGTTCAGTCTAAGGTTTTATTTGCTTAAGAACTTTCATTGAAAAATTATTCTTGCATAATTCAAAGCTATTTCCCTTGAGTTCATGAACTAAATACTGGCTGAAAGAATATAAATTCCAAAGAGCTTTTACACATAGATCTCAAATAATAAAACTCATTACTACTATGCAGAAATACATATGGATTTTATTCATGTGTTAGAAATTTTTTTAATATTTTAATTGTTTTATTTGGGTGTGGAAGCCATATTACCCAAATATCCTATTTCATAAATAGGGAAGTATGTAGCGCACATGTTATCAATTAAAATCTTTTAATTTCACAAAGTTTAAGCAAAAAAAAAAAAAAAAAAAAAAAAAAAAACTGTGGTCAACAATGCTTTTATGTAATAACCTAAGCAAAGGAAAAGCTTATTTCCTGGTTACTATAGATAAATAATTCATCTAGGCTGGGTGTGGTGGCTGACGCCTGTAATCCCAGCACTTTGGGAAGCCGAGGCAGGCGAATCACGAGGTCAGGAGTTCGAGAGCAGCCTGGCCAAAATGGTGAAACCCCATCTCTACTAAAAATACAAAAATTACCTGGGTGTGGTGGCACACACCTGTAGTCCCAGCTACTTGGGAGGCTGAGGCAGAAGAATCGCTTGAACCTGGGAGGCGGAGGTTGCAGTGAGCCGAGATCGTGCCACTGCACTCCAGCCTGAGCAACAGAGTGAGACTCTGTCTCAATAATAATAATAATAATAATAATAATAATTCATCTAAGACCATGAAGTCACATCTTAGACCTTAGTCTCTTGGGAAAGTACAGTGAAGACAAATTAAAAATTGCATATTTATATAACATATTGCACATTTCATGTGATAGTTATCTGGAGCTAATGGTAGCTTATAAAGCATAATTGAAAGGGATTACAGAATGGTGTGATAGGGCAAGATAAATGTTTTTGAAGAACTTTTCTCCCTTTTCCACTGGAAATAAAGTCTTTAAAACCTAAGTTGTAATTAAATATATTTACTTGTTCTAGGACCTGTTCCTCCAATGTAAAGTCAGTTTGGCCAATGAACACAAGCAGATTTGCAGATCATCATGACCTCTTAACAGAAACCAAAAGGCCAATAGATACAGCCATCTCTCAGCAAGCTTTTTATAGTGGTGAATCTGTGTCAGCAATGGAAAAGCCATACCTGCATAACAGTAATTTCACACCACAACAAAAAATAGATGAACTTTATCATGGACTTACTGGTTTAGACCTTGAAGAACAATGGATGTACTCCTCACGAAGTGATCATTCTAACTGTTACAATATTCAGACAAATGATACAGCTAAGACAACATTCCAAGAATATCCATTTATCAAAAACTGTCTTATACCTCAAACTGGTCTTTCTGACATCATGAAAGAATCAGGAGTTGATATTTACCCTTATGGAAGAGACAGAATATGTACTAAAGGTCTTGAAGCACCATTACAGCAAAAAAGGGCAGAGATGTTTCTTTCTCAATTTAATAGATACAATGAAAACATAGATTATTGTAGATACCCAGAATATGTTCATCCTAATAAGGCTAAGCTTAATAAATGTTCAAATTTTAGTGTCCAAGATAGTAAAAAATTAGCAAATGGCACACCTGAAACATCAACTGTAGAAGCAGACACCTACACAAAGTTATTTCAGGTCAAACCAGCGAATCAGAAAAAAATGGAGGAGACAATCCCTGACCAGCAGAATTTCACATTTCCAAAAGCTACACCACATCCGACAGAGAAACAGTTTGGAAAGGAAGCAGGATTCACCGCTGATTTTGGATTAAAATCAGAATATGGACTAAAACCTCACACAGCTTGTCCAGCTAATGATTTTGCTAACGTCACAGAAAAGCAACAGTTTGCTAAACCTGATCCTCCAAATTCTGAATATTTTAAATCAGTGAATTTATTATCAAACTCAGCAACATCTTCAGGAGGCATCAATTTAAACAGACCAACTTGGATGAATGTTCAAACAAAAAATAACACTTCTGTTCCTTATCGAAATCAAGGTAACTTGATGAAATTAAATAGTCATTTAAGTGCAGCTTCAAAAGGTTCTAACCATTCTTCAGATTTTCCCCAACTATCATCCACAAACTTAACCCCAAATAGCAATTTATTTCAGAAATATTGCCAAGAAAACCCTTCAGGATTTTCTAGTTTTGATTTTGGTTACAGTGGTGCAGAAAGAATCCAATCTGCCAATCACATAGAAGGACTGACAAAGCCTGGAGAAGAAAATCTCTTTGAAGTGGTTACGGATAAAAAAATTAAGCAGCCAAATGGATTGTGTGATAACTATTCAGCTCAGCAGTATGGGATAATTGAAAATGTAAACAAACATAATTTTCAAGCTAAGCCACAGAACGGACATTATGATCCTGAGGAAGGTCCAAAGCATTTAGATGGCTTATCACAAAATACATACCAAGATCTACTGGAGTCACAGGGTCATTTTAATAGCCACAGAACGAGAGGTGGAGACAATAGCCGTGTGAATCGCACACAACCGTCATGCTTTTCTAATAATTATATGATGGGAGATTTAAGGCATAATCAGGGTTTTCAACAAATTGGTTCAAATGGGTTTCCCCTAAGATCCACCCACCCATTTGGCCATTCAGTTGTTCCACTGTTAGATTCCTATGACTTATTTTCTTATGATGACCTAAGCCATTTGTACCCCTACTTTAATGATATGATGTATGGTGATAATTCCTTTTCTGGTCTCATGCCAACTCTTGGATTTCAAAGACCAATTAAAACCCGTAGTGGACCAGCCAGTGAACTTCATATTCGTCTAGAAGAATGCTATGAACAATGGAGAGCATTAGAAAAAGAGAGAAAAAAGGTAACACAAAGTTAACCATTTAGGAGTAACTTAGTATATTCCCTTTGCTTGTCTTCATTCTATTTACGTTAGTGTAGTTTGAGTACTTGCCTTATTTCTTTGTGTTTTATTTGTTGTTGTTTTAAAGAGACAGAGTCTTGCTCTGTTGCCCAGGATGAAGTACAGTGGCACAATCATAATTTACTCTAACTTAAAACTCCTAGGCTCAAGCAATCCTTCCTCCTCAGCCTCCTGAGTAGCTAGTACTACAGGCACATGCCACCATGCCTAGCTAATTATAATTTTTTGTAGAGACTGGGTTTCACTATGTTCCTCAGGGTGGTCTCAAACTGCTGGCCTCAAGCGATCCTCCCACTTTGGTGTCCCAAGTGCTGGGATTACAGGTGTAAGCCACTGCACCCAGCCACCTTGCCTTATTTCTTAGCTGAATTCCATAATGTCTAGGATTTGCTAAGTTCATGACTGTAAACAATTAAATTGGTTACTTAAAAACTAAAAATGGATGGGATTGGCCAGTGGGAAACTTAAATAAAGACAAAAAAATGCTTGACATTTTAAAGTTATTGTTATTCTAAGTTGATTTGCCCTGAAGTAAATTTTTTACTCCCTTAATGGCTATAAGTTTATTTCTTTGAAATTTTTTGTGTTGACCTGTTAGTATACTCAGGTATTAAGATGATAGAAAAATACTGTGGTATTGTGGTTTATATTTATTGCCTTTTGATACCAAAACCAAATTTTCATTTAAAGTGGTAATACTCTATTAGGCTTATGAAAACTATTACTCATCGTCAAATCATATTTAGAAAATTCTGGATCTAAAATGCATGTAATTTTTTACAGACTGAATTAGCCCTTGCCAAGAATTATCCTGGGAAAAAAGTATCCAGTACTAACAACACTCCAATTCCAAGGCTGACCTCCAACCCATCTAGAGTTGATCGCTTAATTGTGGATGAACTTCGAGAACAAGCCAGAGTAAGCTGTAAAAATAGTTAATAGTGGATGGATTTTTTGTTAAAATTTTTTAAAATTTCAGGCTGGGTGTGGTAGCTCACTCCTGTAATCCCAGCACTTTGGGAGGCTGAGGCAGGTGGATCATGAGGTCAGGAGTTCAGGACCAGCCTGGCCAATATGGTAAAACCCCATCTCTACTAAAAATACAAAAATTAGCTGGGCTTAGTGGCATGTGCCTATAATCCCAGCTACTCAGGAGGTTGAGGCAGGAGAATCACTTGAACCCAGGAGGTGGAGGTTGCAGTGAGCTGAGATGACACCACCACACTCCATCTCAAAATAAATTTTAAAAAGCGGGGCATAGTGGCTCACACCTGTAATCCCAACACTTTGGGAGGCCGAGGCAGGCAGATCACCTGAGGTCAGAAATTCAAGATCAGCCTGGCCAACACGGTGAAACCCCACCTCTACTAAAAATACAAAAATTAGCTGGATGGTGGCATGCGCCAGTAGTCCCAGTTACTCAGGAGGCTGAGGCAGGAGAATCACTTAAACCCAGGAGGTGGAGGTTGCAGCAAGCCAAGATCGCGCCACTGCATTCCAGCCTGAGTGAGAGCAAGACCCCATCTCAAAAAAATAAAAATCTCAGCAAGTTTTAGAGCTTTGAAGGGATTTTAAATCACGTTTACATCTAATTCTCTGAAATAATAGTTTTTTTCCATGTTTGGTCCTAGAACTATAATATTTAGGAAAGGGGCCAGGTGCAATGACTCACACCTATAATACCAGCACTTTGGAAAGTGGAGTTGGGAGAATCACTTGAGCCCAGGAGTTCAAAACCATCCTGGGCAACAAAGGGAGACTCTGT